CTTGTGTAAATAGCAGCAGAGGCCTACCTTGCACAGGATTCTGATTCTTGATTCTGCACAGATGATGGAACCAGGCTCTCCCTCCCGGAGAAGGCCTAATGGATAACTTGTGCTAGAATCACCATCTAAAAATTATTGGAAAATAATATTCTTACCAGCGCTAGAAAATGGATCCTAACAATAACCCTTCCTGCTGGTAGGCAGCCATTTCCAATAATTTTTAGGTGATCATCCTGACATTTAATATCCAAGAGGGTTTGGGATAGAGGCCCTGGGCAGGCTGTGTGGATGGCAGCAGGAAGCAGGGTCTCCTGAAGTGGGAAGAGCAGGAGGTCCCAGCAGAGGGGACACCGAGGAGCAGTCTCTCCCTAACACTCTCACTGAGGCCTATTGAAAACAACGGGAGCAGCAGGTCAACCTGACCTGCAACTGTGGGGACGATGGGCTATTTTTGTGCCAAGACCCCAGATTGACTGCCAGTCCAAGGGACTGGGTTCACCTAGACAAATGAACCGATTTGCACTGTTCACAATGTGGAAAGCGTTGCTCATTCATCATTCATTCATTCACACATTCATCCACGTATTCATGTTAGGATTACTGAGGCCGCTAAGAGCAATGGATAACTGAGGAATGAATATTTCTATTCAGGAATTCATTATGTTTATTTTCACGTTCTAAAACACTCACTAGCTCAGCAAAGCCTTGGACCTCAGAGGGAGAGCTGAACATGAGGACAGCAAGAGTCCGGGATCATGGGCAAGTCCCTCCATCTCTCTGGGGCTTAACAGGCTGTGAATAAGCACTAATGGCATCGCATTACCAGTCCCGAGCTGTCCAAAAATGGCCTGGTGTCTTCAGTCTGTAAAATGGTGGGCCAGGCTGGGCTGTGTCTAAAATCCCAACTCAAATGGGGAGTGTGGAGCACCTTCCATGTGCCGGAAGCCATGTTCTTGTCATCTACCCCACCAAACCTTCATCACACCACCATGATCTCCACTGCACGAATAAAGAACCTGAGTGCAGACAGGCTTCTTCCTAGGGAACTGAATCCAGGCCAATCTGATTTTGAGCCCATGTTAGCAGCACCTCCTCTCAAGCCTTTCAACCCGAGGGAAGACTGGTGATGTTGGAGAACTTTCTCTGGCAATATTTATAGAACATGATCGAAGGAGTGGCTTGCAACCCAGGTTCAGGGGGGAAGAGGAGCAGGAAACCAAGGAGCAAGAAGGAATGGAATTCATTACCCGTATCCTCCTCTTGGTCTCTGAGTCCTGCAATGCTAACAGGATCTGGCCACTGTAGTGTGACTGTATTTGCTCTTGGCTGAAGCTGAAGGAAACAGCATACAAAACTGTGAACCCCTTTATAATCTGTGTTGACCCCAAAGAAAAATGGGGAAAAGGCAGAGAAAAATATTTCATGGAAGAAAAAAAGTAAATGGCAAAAAATTTTATGAAAAATTCAATCTAGCTGGAAATCAAAGAATGTTCATTAAAACTGTAATGAAAATCTAAACAAAGATTTTAAAAATTCTGAAAATTGTGTCAATATACAAAAATAGAGAAATTATTTTAAAAATATGTATGGTCACATAATGGTATCCTATGCCAGCATGAACATTGTGTTTGTTGAGAATATAAAACTATTTAACGACAGGAAAACTCCCCACGTACTGAAATGAAAAAAGCAGGAAACAAAACTGTACAAAGGGTATAAACCCAACTGAAAATGTGTGTTTACCCATAGAAAAAAATACTGAAAAGAAATCTATTGGAACATTAACCAGGTTTATTTCTGCGTGGCTATTTTTATTGCCTCCTTTTTCCTTTTCCATACATTCTAACATTTCTAAACGTTCCAGGGCCCAACCTAGAGAAAGTGTCAGATGTAGAGCTAACTGGATGGCATTTCAAGGCCCTGAGTCACGCATGACCTCCTTGCCTTGTGGACGGGGCTGTTTCTGTGTCTTTTCATTGTCATCCCTTAAAGCAGCAGACGATATACACAACTGACCAAAATGTCTTTGGATTTTTATCAGAATGGGATAGCCCTATGTGACAAGTTCTAATCGCTAACCTTCTAACCTCTAAAAATCTCTCAATTTTTCAAACTAGAGTGGCAACTCATCATTAGAGAGGGAAATCAATTTAATTGGTTGGGATCAATGTTTTTTTTAAAGTGAAACAGAACAGAAGATTAGGTATAATAGACCAAAGAATTTTTTTAAAAATCCAAGTAGTCCCCAAATAATAAGGATAGGGATTGTCCTGTGAAACTTTTGTTTCATTTGTGTATGTATGCGTCTGTGTGCGTTACGATAAAGAACATCGGAAGCTGCCTTCCTAAACTACTTGGAGGAGAGGAGGCCGGCTCTCCCTGTACTGTCTGCCCGTGGATGAGACCTCACTGCCTTAGGGACGTACTCTGGGAACCGCCTCCTCTTCTTCCACCCCTCGAACAGTCACAGCCTTGGAATTGGCAGAATATTTTCCTTAGTGCAGGTCTGGGATCCAAGGACTTAAGACAAAATAGTTGTTTTGAGCATGAAGGAAATTTAGAGGCTCACATCCACCCTCTCTTTCCACTCATGGGATTCCTGGAGCCATTTTGTCCTGGAGTCTGAGAAACAGCCTGAACCTGACAGGTACCTCAACAAAGGCCCGCCCATTCCCACCTCCGCCACCACTAAAGATGCCCAGCCTCCTCCCCGGTTCGGATATTTGCATGAGTAGTGCCTCCAGGGCTGTGTGCTTCTCAGCCCGGTTGGTGGTACAGCTGGCATCATCAGGCCCAGGCCAGTGGGCTGAGCGACTCTACTTAAGGCAGACTCTTGAAATGATCCTGAACAGAGTGTGCAGCAGCTCCTTGTTCACTGTCTCACTTGATTCCAGCAGTAGTGTAGTGTAGGGACCAAGGCTGCCTGCACTGCATTAGTTGGGTGACCCTGGGCACTTAGCCTCCCTGCACCTGTTTCCTCTTTTGTAAACTGGGGATAGTAACTGTACCTGCATCATAGAAATATTGCAGAGATTAAACCAGCTAGCACGTACAAAGTGCTAGAACAGACCCTGCACGCAGTAAGCATTCAATAAATGTTAATTATTACTATTTAATCATCTCATAAGCCTTATGATAGTTATATTTTTCCATATTTATAGATAAGAAAATGAGGCTGAGAGAAATTGAGTAACCTGCCCTATGTCACGTGGCCAGTAGAGGCAAAGCCGGCATATAAATCCAGACCTCCTGGCTCCTTTCCCCTAATGATGCCCACATCGCCTTTAGAAGCCAGTGGGGCATCGAGCTATCTCCCGTGCTGAGCTGCCACCTCGTCAGTCTCTGCCAGGCGCTCTCGGATCAAAGGTGTCTGGAGGGATGGTGAGCCCAGGGGAAAGTCCTTTCTCATGATTTTGCTTAGGGACCCAGAATTAGTCTTTGGGGGAGATACACTCTTGGGGGAGTTTATACAAATGCATTATGTGTGTTTTTATAGGCTAGGGAATCGTAAATGGGGTCCTTGTTTGCACTGGCTAACTGAACAGTGATGAGCATATACAGGAGAATGCTTATGCCTTCAGTTAAATTTTTCACAAAAATCTCTCTCAATAATTGAGTAGGGCAGTTTGAGACGGCGACAAGGGGAGTGAGGATCTCGTGGACTGAGCAGCAGCTATGCTGCATGTCCTGTTTTTTTCCAGCCTGCGATTTTCCCACAGATGTAGTACAAAGACCTAGTAACAAAGGAACGTCCCTGCTTGCTCTTCACTTGTAACCTGCAAAGGGAACCAAACTTGCACATTCTGCCCTCACGATGGAGCCTGAGGAAAACTAGAAGGGCAGTGGTGATATTTTAAAAACACTTAGCTTTTGTCAACCAGAGCTCTCTGGAATGACCACATCACCATATAAATCCTCTGAAAATAGTGTTTGTATGAAGATCAGGAGACACTTGGGATTCTGAAGTCCTTTTTAAATTATCAAAAATATTTTGATGTGTTCAGGATGGTTTTCCTGGGTTTTATTACAGTCTTTTTTTTTTTTTTTTTTTTAGAATTCAAATCCACATGGGTTTTATATGGTAATTCTGTTAATCAAAGTATTTGGTTAAGCTGAGCTCTCTGGTTGTGTTGGTTAATAAACTGCTGTAGGTCTCAAATGGCACTTTTCGCAGATTTGTGCCAGGGCTGGGCGGGCGTGGGGACTGATAAGGGATCTTGGGACTCCTAGAATTCTTGGCGCTCACAGGTGCTCCTGAGTGTAAATGATCTTAAACTGTCCAGGAGAAGCTGCAGGAATGGTTCCTGGGGCACTCACAGAGGATTAGAGAGTGGGCCCACACGCCAGGTTTACAAACAGGTATCAAGTGGAGATAAAGTAAGAACTGACTTCAGCATCTGCCCTGAGCTCACACCAAGAACTTTCTGAGGGAAAAAAAAAAAAAAATCCCCTTAATGATCGTACAGCAAAAATCTTCACACAGCTACGCTGTGTAATGTTGACCGAAACCAAATCACGAGAGAGGAAAACCATTTAGTGACATTCGCAGTCTGACCCATGAGGAGGCAAGGTCAAACAACTTGTATGTCTCCAGGACTGTGGGGGGACTTGAGAGAGCAAAGAGTAGGGAATTAACACACTGAATGAAACCCACAAATAATCCCTGAATTTCATTTTAGCCAGTCTTTTTAACAATAGTTTTAATATTCACTCAGAAAATAGTGGCTGGGAATATTGTCCTTGAAAAATCAAGAGACCGTCATGTGACAGACATTAAATCAGAACCCATTGTGCAACCCATTGAATTGTCCCCATGCTAAGAGTCTGGACCCACCCTCCTTGTTCACACATCCCAGCTTTGCAACAAGAACATCTTGAGATTTCCATGAGACTGAAATGCAGGGAGTCTTCAGGGTCTACCCTCTGCCCCTCCTTCCCACGTCCCGCCGCCGGCCGGCCCGTGCCCACTTGGACGACATGGTCAGCATGCCTCTGCTTACCTCAAGCACAATTTCTTTCAGCTGGAACTGTTTCTGGGCGACTTTATCGGAAGACACGGGCTCATGGTAGTAGAGGCAGAGCAAGTCGTATTTCTTCAAAACCTGCTTGAAGTTCTTCTCAGTGAGACTGACCACGCGGTCCTTGCCGTCGTAGGTGGGGAAGTTGAGCCCCTCTTCCGCCCTGCAGGTGGACAGCAGGTAGACCCCCACCACAAACAGGTGAGTTCTCTTCATCTGGGAAAAGTTATATGGAGCACAGGAGAGAGGGCAGAAGACTCTGGGAGCACTTGTTGAGAGGAGTGGGAGCAGAGAGCCTGGCCTCCTCTGCCGCGTTTGCCCTTCCACAGCCCCAGAACCGACTCTTCCCCTCCTGGGGTCCAGCTAAGTGCCGTCGGGGCTCAGGGCAGACAGCAGGCTCGCCCACACAGGCGTGTGTGGACTAGGCGGCAGGCTGGGCGGCCAAGCCCCAGATACCTCACATAGCTTGGCCCAGCCCCTGTCTCATCAGGAACTCCATTTTTAGGATGCAGTTGTTTCAGGCTAAAAATAAATCATGCAATGAATAAAAAAGTTAGATATGACACTGTTGAGGGATTCGCTGATACAGTCTCTCAGAGCGGTGCAGAGGGAGGAGGCAGGAGGAAAAGAGGAGAACGTGTGCACATGAATAAGGAGGCCAGGAAGGTCAAAGAAGAGAGCTAACCTTGAGAAGGAGAAGGAGAGAATGAGAGGAGACAGAGATGGGACCCGGGCGCCAAAAACCAACTGGTGATGTTAGGACACAAACAACGCCACTCTGACATTACTGAACCGCTCAGTTATCGAGGGAGGTAGTTCAGCCTGTCCCTTCCTGGCAGGCTGCTCGGCCGTCCCCTGCCTACTCACTGTTGACAAGAGAATAAACGGAGCTCCGAGGTGGACTTCACATTCTGTGCATGCCTTCCCCTCCCTCTGTCCTCTCCTCTTAGAAACCAGCTCTGGCCACTGCATATGTGCACGTGGCTCTGCCAGTCACCGGGCAAGGAGCGTAGGGACACCAATGCAAGGAGGACTTGTCCCCATTTTAAAATTAAATAAAAGTTTAACGGTCTTCCTCAGAAACCCTCTTAGGTTTTTCTCAATCATCTCTGTCATATTTCTTTTTTTACATTAACCCCTATTGTATTATTTTTGCCCCTTTCCTCCTTGTTAGAGACAGACTAGGGTAGAGAGTCTAGAAGCCGAATAGATCAGAGTTCAAATCCCCACTCTGCGTTTCAATGGCTGAATGGACTTTGGAGGGTCACTCAGCCTCTCTGAGTCTCAGTTTCCCCACGTCAAATCGAGACAATTATAACCATATAGTAAGGTTTAGACATAGAGTAGAAAAGCATGGTATCAAGCAAGTGCCCAACGCAGTGGCTATTGCACTTGCTTCATTCTCTCTGGAGATGTGGAACGTAGGTTATAATCATCACTTGCCAGTCTCTAATCGTAATGCTTTGTGAACGCTTTCCTGTCCATTTTCTCCTTAAATCCAGCAGGCAACTGAGGCAGAAGAGATTAGTGCTCATTTCACAGGTGAGCTAACTGAGAGTCAGAGAGATCAGCAACTTGTCTGAGATGGCGTCCCTAACTGCCAGCAGGCGGATTCAGCTGGGCCTCCGGCCTGCTTGCTCCTGGTTTCTGCCTCAGGGCAATTCCCCTGCAGACATCCATCTTTTTAAGTGGCTCCTTGACCACCCCTTCTGGTCAAACACCAGTCCGGTCATGTCTTTCCACCCTTTGGAGTGGTCTACGGCTCTTATGATTTGGGCCAAGTTTTCATCTTCCGTTGGTTGGAAAATCAGCTTTGGAAATATGAGGACTGTCACACACAAGGTTTGCAGGGGATGGAAGGAAAGAGGAGTTCAGTGGCCTATGCGAGTGAGACCAGGCCCCTCTTCTGCAACCAGGGGGCCTTATGTTCACAGTCAGGCTGACAAAGAGTTGTTTTCAGACACTTCCATGTCCAGGGAGCCAGGACCGCGGAGAAGACATCATTGAGGCCCGAGACAGCATTCAGTTCTTACTGTGGTGTAGTCTCTATGCTTTTAAAGACGGAGCCAAGAACAACCATTCTGAGATGTAGTTAGCTTTCCAGATCATTGGCAAGCATGCGAGATCTCTGCTTTCTTTAGAGAATTTAGGGGGAACAAAGATTTCCAAGTGAAACATTGTATGTCTTGTCTTTTTGAGGTCAGCTTCCCAAAACTGTTCCCAGTTGTCTCCATCTCATTGGGTTACCTTTATTTAGAATTTGCTCCACTTTTCTTAATACATAGAGTTTTTTTAATGTTACTGAAAAACTGAGAGATATTCAAACTGAGTATTTGAATTGCCTGTTGACTTGGAAATGACAAAAAGTGCCAGAGCAAAGGGGTAATTTTGTAAAATTTAGTTTAGCCTATGAGTCTGGCTGACGACCAACTGAGCATTAACAGAAAAAAGCCCCAGTGTGGGATGTTCCTGTCCCCCAGATCCTCCTGGACCCTATTTGGGGCCCTGCAGCCCAGCCCTGAGGACGGCACAGCTGCTGACATGTGCTGTGATGATCAGGTTTCCCACTGTCCATCCACCGGTGGACAGGAGGCCCTACACTTGTGTCCCACTCTTAGTAAGGACAGGTTTCCGTGGTTTGATTTTATGTACCTTTTTTCTGAATGCCTTTTATTTTCCTATTTTTGTTTTTCCTTTGCCTTATTGCTCACCAACTTTAATTAATTTATTTTGTAAACAAGGAATGCTTCTGACGTTTCTGAGTCAGCTTTGCATCTAGCGAATCAGCTATTTGGTTCCAGATTTAGCCACTGCCCAAGCCAGAGCATCGTGCATCCCTAGTTTATGGGATCATGCTGAAGTCACATCTTTATGTGACGTTATACAAACACATGTTAATTGTTGTCATGATATATGACTAGGCCCCTTGTTTTTGCTAACAATTTCCAGTCCTTTTCTCTGTGAGTGGGCACCACCTACAATCCCTTAATCTAACCTAGCCCCTTTCATGCCCTTATTCTTGACAGGTGGCAGAGTGATTTTGCATGTATTATGTAACTGATCTTCACAATAATCCATTTTACAGATGAATCAGGATTTGAAGCCACGGTTTTTCATTTATTTGTTAATTAATTTCTATTGGACATCTTCTGTGTACCAGACATTCTTCTGGGTCCTGGGAACAGATACATTGAAAACCTGAACTCACCGAGCTTACATCCTAGAGGGGAGACAAACAGCAATCAACAACCAAAACGTACGTGGTGTGTATGTGTGTGTGAGTGAGTGTGAATGTGTGCATGTGCACATGTGCGCAATATGACATCAGGTAGAGGCACATGCTCTGAAGAACAATTGGGAAGGACAAGGGAGAGCCTGTGTCAGAGGGTAGGGGGTGGCCTTTTGGACTGGTGGTAGGTCTTTGAGGGGGGAACATGGGAGCAGAAGGGAGGGGAGGGAGTGAGGCAGAGAGCAAGCTGCTGAGGGCCTGGGGAGAGGTAGAGGCCTCCACGCTGAGCCCTACAGCGACACCACCACTAGAGGGGGTTGTAGCCACCTCTTCCTTCCTCCTACATCAGCATCAGTTTTCTGTCTCAGACTTCTTCGTCTGTTAATCAAACATAGGTTCCCATCTACACTGGAAGGCCTACAGGGCAGGGAACCTATATGAGCAACTCAGAGGCAGCTCAGAGTGAGAGAGCCACGTTCCAGAAATCAGGGGCCCTGGGTTCTGGGCCCGTCTGACATTGCCTGGCTCTGCGACCTCGGTCAAGTCTGCTCATCTCTCGACCTTACATTTCCAATTTGTGGAAGAGCGGGTCACCCTCACTGGTCTCCTATGGCCGCTTTCTGGCTCTAAAATTTTAAAATTGGTTACGCCCACGGAGAATTTTCTTTTACCAGGATCGGCCTTGGCACACTTCACAGGTTTCAGGAAGTTTGGCGAACGTTACCTACGGAGGAGAATTTTGATGGGTATGACTCTTGACAAGTCCAAGCTCGCCTCTTCTCCAAGGCAAAAGACCTAGGACGTCACTATCGCCAAAGTTCCCTTCTTTGGCTAAAATACTCCACCCAGTGGACAAGCGGAGTATGGCATCTTTCTTTCTTTGATTCCGGTGGGCTGGGCCACTGGCCAGGGAAGCACAGCCTGCTGCCCTGGTAGAGAGAGAGTTCCAGAAATGTTTGTGTCTACAGCCTGTGCTCCACGGCCTCGGGCTTCCTCTGGTTAGGTCAGAACAGGCCTGGTAGCAAGCCCCAGGCCTCCTTCCTTCTTTCCTCTGATTATCAGGCAGCCCCAGAAGCCTGCCCCACTCCCCAGTACCAGGAAACTCCTAAACAGAACCAAACAGAAATAGATCAACGCTGGGTAAGAGATCCCACGGCTCTACCAATAACAATTCCAGATTTTCACAAATATCACTTCCTCCAGGAGGTCCTCAGTGTAGACCAGGGGCTGAGATGTACTCCCGTTACACAACATACTTCTCCTTACATACTTCTCCTTGGAAACGCTCCTTCCCCTGGGGATTCTTTGTTCCCCAGCTAGACTGAGCCTTACTGGAGCCGGGACAGCATCTGTTTGCAGTATTCCTCACAACCAGCCCAGCCTACAGTATTCCCATTAAATATTTATTAAATGAATTTGAAGTACTTACTTCGTGACAGGCCTTATCTTAAGTACTTTACAAATGTAGCTTATTTATTCTTAACAACAATATGAAGACGGTAGTTTTAGTATCCCATTTAACAAATGGGTAAACTGAGGCACAGAGAGGTTAACTAACTTGCCTAGGGTCACGTGACTAGTAAAGGCAGAGCTGGGATTTGAACTCGGGAGGTGGGCTTTGCGTCTGCTCCCTACCATGTGTAACCACCAGCTAGATGCCTTTGCAGGGGCTCATAAGTCACTTGGACAAGCCAGGAATTTCTTCAGAACAAGAGATGGCTGCCCACAATGGGAGGCTGCTCATTTGGGGATGGATCCTGGGTTTTGGCCCTACACTCAATCACCTTCTTGCTTTCTAAGTATATAGAAGGAAAAGGAGAAGAGAACTGGTATGCTTGCTAGGAGCCATCACTGGGCTCACCACATTTTATACATCATTTCATTTAATCCTATCAAGCTGGGCATTATTCCTTCCATTTCACAGATGAGGAAACTGAGGTTCAGCAAAGCCAAGTAATCTGCCTAAGTCACACAGCTGGTAAGTAACGGAGACTAGATTTGAACCCCGGTCTGTCTAGACGTCATGACCCCGGGCTACCCTGCGTAAGGAGAGGGAGCCCTCTCTGTTTCCTTCGGGGAAAAACAAAAATGGGAAAACTTACATTACCCAGAATTTACAGGATAAGAAAATAAAGGGAAAACAGGTATTTCAGCAGGAAAGAACAAGAGAAACAATTTAAAAAATAAAAAGAAAGAAAAGAAGGGATTTAATTTAGAAGAAAATGTGCATGAGAGCAGATCAGTGCAAGACTTAAGGTTAATTTGTCCTGGAACTAGAGGGAAAATATAGACCTCTGGAGGAAATCAGTAAAAGAACAGAAAAATCCCTAGATATACAAGTCACATCAAAGTGTCCAAATGGAGAGTGAGGCAGGCAGAATAATGCCCCCACTCCCCAGAGATGTCCGGGTCCAATCCCCACACCTGCGAATGTGGTACCTTCCGTGGCAAAGTGGACTTTGCTGACTTGATGAAGTTAAGGGTTAAGGACCTTGAGGGGGGGAGATTAGCCTGGATTACCCTGGTGGGCCCCACTTAACCACTGGGTCCTTAAAAAGAGAGGCAGGATGGTCAGAGACAGAGAAGGAGATGTGAGGACACCGAAGCAGAGGTTGGAATGAAGCAGGGCCACCAGCCAAAGAATGCGGTGGACGAGGCGAGGGGAGGATGTTCCCCCGGGACCTCCAGGAGGAACGCAGCCCTGCCGACCCACCTTAGACGTTTAACCTCCATAATTGTAAGACAATAAATAGTGGTCATTTTAACCACCAAGGCCGCGGTAATTTGTTATGGTAGCAATAAGGAATTCATACAGAGGGAGATCAGTGAAAACTGACTCCTAAAAGGAAGAAAAGCTGCCCATCCTCTGGCCTCAGCCGTTTTACCTGGGAAAATACTCTGCATCTTCTCCCAGCCTCACTGCCTGCAAGAAACAGATGTGAGAACAGTTCAGCACAGCATCTGATGAGGCCCCTTACACTTACGGTTTCTCTGACCCCCACCCCATGAGTGGTTTCTGTGGGCCAGTCACTCCACCTGTCAAGACCTCTAGAATAAGGGAGATAAACTGAGTCAGCATTCCTCTACTTTTTTGGCTTACCTTTTCAAAGTAATAGACAATCTCTCAATATCTCTCCTTGGGAATTAGAAAAAGTTCTTATTCTTGCATACTATGTTTTTTAAAAAAATGATTTTCAAACATTTTTGGGGCTGGCCCAGTGGTGCAGTGGTTAAGTTCACACATTCTGCTTCGGTGGCCTGGGGTTCTCCAGTTTGGATACCAGGTATGGACCTACACACCACTTGTCACGCCAGGCTGTGGCAGTTGTCCTACATATAAAGTAAAGGAAGATGGGCACCATTGTTAGCTCAAGGCCAGTCTTCCTCAGCAAAAAGAGGAGGATTGGCAGCAGATGTTAAGCTCAGGGCTAATCTTCCTCAAAAAGAAAAATACAAAAAAAAAGATTAGAAACATTTTTAGATTGATATATTATTGCAGACTCTGTTGTAAAGTTTGTTTCAATATTCTTCCTAATAATAATCATTATACATATATAGAATAAAGATAAATTTCAACTTATCAATTTATAAATGATTCATCCTATTTAATTTCATTAAAATATTTATGCAAGAGAAAGATTGACTTGTCATCAAATGTTTAAATAGTGTATTGGTTTGGGAAACAAATATATGTAAGAAATAAAAATTGAATTTTTTTCTTTTTTAATTTATTTCTAAAATTGAAGTACAGTTGAGATACAATAAATTGCCTATATTTAAAGTATAAAATTTGTTTCTTTTTTTTTAGTTTTATTTTTTTTGAGGAAGATTAGCCCCGAGCTAACTAACTGCTGCCAATCCTCCTCTTTTTGCTGAGGAAGACTGGCCCTGAACTGACATTGGTGCCCATCTTCCTCTACTTTAGATGTGGAATGCCTACCACAGTATGGCTTTTGCCAAGCGGTGCTGTGTCCACATCCAGGATCCGAACTTGTGAATCCAGGGCCGCCGAAGTGGAACGTGCGCACTTAACAGCTGCGCCACTGGGCTGGCCCCTAAAACTTGATAAGTTTCGACATAAGCATGAAACCATTACCACAATCAAGATGGTGAATATTCCCACTGCCCACAAATTTCCTGTATCCTTTGGTAATCCCCATCCTCCTCCCCTTTCCTGACATTCCTCTCCTCTCCCCACACCCCATCCCTAGGCAAGCACTGATCTCTTTTGCCACTATAGGTTACTTTTCATTTTCTAGAATTCTGTGTAAATGGAATCATACCTTATCTACTCTTCTTTTATAACTTGGTCTGGCTTCTTTCACTCAGCATAATCATTTTTCAAGATTCAATCATGTTGCATATATTAACAGGTCATTCACTTTTATTGCTACCTAGAATTACATTGTATCAATATGCACAATTTGTTTCTCCATTCCCCACTGGTGGACAGTTGGGTTGTTTTCACACATAAAGCTGCCATGAATATTAAATTTAGGTGTATGATTCGTTTTGAGTTAATTCTTTAGTATGGTGTGAAGTATGGATCAAATTTTGTGTTATTTCTTTTTTTGCATATGGATGTCACTAGGTTTTGCACCATTTCTTGGAAAAACTGTCCTCCACCTCATTGCCTGTGCACCTTTCTAAAAAATTAGCTATCTACGTATGTGTAAGTCTATTCTGGGGTCTCTATTTTGTTCCTTTGATCTATTTATCTTTAAACATCAATACCACATTACTGCAGCTTTGAAAGTCTTGAAATCAGTTAGTATTAGCCCTCCTACTTTCTTCTCCTTTTTTTCTTTTTTTTTTTTTTGAGGAAGATTAGCCCTGAGCTAACATCTGCTGCCAATCCTCCTCTTTTTGCTGAGGAAGACGGGCCCTGAGCTCACATCAATGTCCATCTTCCTCTACTTTGTATGTGGAACGCCTGCCACAGCATGGCTTGACAAGCAGTGCCATGTCCGCACCCAGGACCCAAACGGGCAAATCCCGGGCGGCCAAAGCAGAATGTGTGCACTTAACCTCTGAGCCACCTGACCAGCCCCTCTTCTCCTTTTCAAGTTGTTTTGTCCAGTCTAGGTCCCTTGCATTTCCACATGAACTTTCAAATCAGTTCATCAAGTTAAAAAAAAAAGTCTATTGGGATTTTGACTGCGTCAAATGTATAAATCAATTTGGGGAGAATTAATATCTTTACAATGTTGAGTTTTCTGTAACATGAACAAGGTATATCTCTGTAGATTTAGGTCTTTAATTTTTTTCAGCAATATTTTGAAATTTTCAGTTTACGGGACTCGTACATTTTTGTCAGATTTATCTGGAAGTATTTCATATTTTTAATGGTATTTAAATGATACATTTTTAAAATTTTAATTTCCATTTGTTTGTTGATAGTATATAAAAATGCAATTGATTTTTGTAAATTGAGCTTGTGTTCTATAAACTTGCTAAACTCACTTAATAGTTCTAGAAGCTTTTTTGTAGATTTCATTGGATTTTCTACACAGTCACGTCATCTGCAAATAAAGATCATCTCATTTCTTCATTTGAAATTTGGATGCCTTTTGTTTCTTTGTCTTGCCTTGTTACACTGACGAGAACCTGCAGTACCGTGTCAATAGACGTGGTGAGAGTGGGCATCCTCGCCTCATCTCCGAGCTCAGGAGAAAGGACTTCAGTCTTCCACTATGGAGCATGATAGTAGCTATAGAATTTTTATAGATGCCCTTTATTAGGTTGAGGAAGTTCACTTCTTTTCCTAGTTGGCTGAGGATTTTTATCGGAAATAGACATTGAATGTACTTTTTGGAATGGGTGTTAAAAACACTTTTTGTACATCTGTGGAGATGACCATATGGTTTTTCTTTTTCACTTTGTTGATTTGATGAATTACCAAATTGATTGATTTTTGAGAATTAAGTAAACTTTGGATTTCTAAGATAAACCCAATTTCGTCGTGATGTATTATCCTTTTTACAAATTTTGGATTAAACTTACCAAAATTTTGTTTAAAATTTTTGCAGCTTCATTCATGAAGGACATTCATCTCTAGTGCTTTGTGAAGATCCATATTGCCATCTAGTGTTTTCCTTCTGCCCAAAGGACTTCCTTTGACCTTTCTTGTGGTACAGGTCTGTTAACTATGATTCTTTTAGCTTTTGTTTGTCTTAAGGTGTTTTCATTTTGCTTTTGTTTTTGAAACTTATTTTCACTAGATGAAAGTTCTAGGCTGACAGTTTTATTCTTTCACTATCTTAAAGTTATTATTCCACTGTCGTCTTCCTTGCATTGCTCCCTACAAGCAATTGCTGTCATCCTTATCTTTGTTCCATTGTACATAACTTTCCTTTTTCCCTCTGGCTATTTTCAAGATTTTCTTTTTATCCATAGTTTTGAGCAATTTGATTCTGATGTGCCTTGGTTTAGTGGTTTCGTTTTCTTCATGTTTCTTGTGTTTTGGGTGTGTTGAGCTCCTTGGAAGTATGTATTTATAGTTTTAATCAAATTTCTTAAATATTTGTTAAATATTATTTCTTCAAAAAATTTTTCTATCTCCTTTTCCTCTTAAGCACTCCAATTATACATATATTGAGTCACTTGGCAGTTTCCTTACAGCTCACTGATGCTCTTTTAATTTTCTAAAATTCTTTTTTCCTCTCTGTGTTTCATTTAGATAGTTTCTACTGCCATGTCTTCAAGTTCACTAGTCTTCTCTTCTTCAACAGGTAATCTTTTGTTAATCCCAGCCAGTGTATTTTTCATCTCAGACATTATGTTTTCCATCTCTAAAAGTCTGATTTAAGTCTTTTATGTCTTTCTTGAATTAATTTTTTAACATATGGAATATAATTATAACAACTGTCTTAATGTCCTTGTCTGCTAATACTAACATCCCTGTCAGTTCTGAGTCAGTTTCAATTATTATTCTTCTCATCATTATGGGTCATTTTTTCCTGCTTCTTTGAATGCCTGATAATATTTGACTGGATGCCAGACTTTGTGAATTTTATCTCATCGAGTGTTGTATTTTATTTTTAAATAAATCTTCTTGAACTTTGTTCTGTGATGAAGGTAAAGTTTTTGGAAATAGTTTAATCTAGTCTGGTTTAAATTTTGAGATTCTTTTTTATTTTTTGGCAGGACCAGAGTAACAACTAGCCTAAGACTAATTATTCTATACTACTGAGGCAAGACTTCTGAGTAGTCTCCCCAGTGTCACACAAATTATGAGATTTTCCAGTCCGACTGGTGGAAACAGGCCCTCTTAGTGGCTCTGGTGAGCACTGGGTACTGTCCCCTCTGGTCTAACCCTTTTGGATTGTTCTTTTTCCCAGTCTCCTATAGTTTCCTTAAACACATGGACTCATCAGTTTTCCGCTCAATACTTGAGGGAGATCCTCTGCTGATCTTCGAGGTTGTCTCTCTGTGCACTCACTTCTCTAGTGCTATGGCCTGTGAACTCTAGCCTCTTTGGTCTCCCTGAACCCTCAGATCTTCTCAACACAGGAACTCCACCATGATTACCGTCCACCCCCCCTCCCTGACACCACTACCTAGAAGCTCTCTCCAGAAAGGATGCTGGGGCAATTGTAGGGCTTACTTAATTTGTTTCCTATCTCTCAAGGATCACATTCTTCCATTGCCTAATGTGCCATGTCTTAAAAACCATTATTTCAAATGTTTTTCTGGATTTTTTTGGTTGTTTCAGATGGGAGAGTAAATTGGTCACTGTGAATCCATTTTAGCTGGAAGCAGAAGTCTTAGAAAATTGAAATTTACCTATGGATTATACAAGCAAAAATAGACAAAAACTGCTTTTATGATATGATGTTGGTCACTCATATAGATTGCACTTATCTC